ACATGCTTTATGCAAACGGCTTCATGCTACAAGCCTCTAAATGTCACATGAATAATTTCGCATGAAGCACATGTCTTACCGGATGTCCATTGGTGTGTGATATATCTGTCAAAATGTCTGTCTGGTGTCAGGGCCCAAGAGAAAACTCGGGCAATAATCAGGCCATCTTCGATCTTGCCAAAAGCGGTTATAATCAGACGACTAAATATAGAAAAGTCCAATAAGTCCACTTTAAAACTCCTTGGATATCATGAGTGGGACAACCCGATTGATGTTGGCTGGGTTAACTAAGCTTACAAGTATTCCAGTATTCAAACTAGGACATTGTTCTGTTTCTTCTGCTCATTACTAAGAATTGTTCTATACAGTCGCATATTATTGCTAGGTCATCGTTCTGTTTGTTCTCTTATTGCTCATGGGATGCTGTATGTGTTGATAGTAGTGATGGATCAGTTAATACGTAGTTAATCCTTCTTGCTGGGATGCTGTACGTGTTGTTAGTAGTGATGGATCAGCTAATACGTAGTTTATCCTTATTGCGGGGATGCTGTACGTGTTGATAGTTGTGATGGATCAGTTAATACGTAGTGTATCCTTATTGCTGGGATGCTGTATGTGTTGATAGTAGTAATGGATCAGTTAATACGTAGTTTATCCCTATTGCTGGGATGCTGTACGTGTTTATAGTAGTGATGGATCACATAATACGTAGTTTATCCTTACTGCTGGGATGCTGTACGTGTTGACAGTAGTGATGGATCAGTTAATACCTAGTTAATCCTTATTGCTGGGATGCTTTACGTGTTGATAGTAGTGATGGACCAGTTAATACGGAGTGAATCCTTATTGCTGGGATGCTGTATGTGTTGATAGTAGTGATGGATCAGTCAATACGTAGTTAATCCTTATTGCGGGGATGCTGTACGTGTTGATAGTTGTGATGGATCAGTTAATACGTAGTGTATCCTTATTGCTGGGATGCTGTACCTGTTGATAGTAGTGATGGATCAGTTCATACGTAGTTTATCCTTATTGCTGAGATGCTGTACGTCTTGATAGTAGTGATGGATCAGTTAATATGTAGTTAATCCTTATTGCTGGGACGCTGTACGTGTTGATAGTAGTGATGGCTCAGTTACTACGTAGTTTATCCTTATTGCTTGGATGCTGTACGTGTTGATAGTAGTTATGGATCAATTAATACGTAGTTACTCCTTATTGCTGGGATGCTGTACTTGGTGATAGTAGTGATGGATCAGTTAAGACGTAGTTAATCCTTATTGCTGGGAGGCTGTACGTGTTGATAGTAGTGATATATCAGTTAATCCGTAGTTTATCCTTATTGCTGGGGTGCTGTACGTGTTGATAGTAGTGGTATATCAGTTAATACGTAGTTTATCCTTGTTGTGCAAGCCCCGCTAGTCTAATAACAATACACTCTACATTTCGTGGCCGGTCCATTTAATTGAAGGACGTAGTTTATCCTTATTGCTGGGGTGCTGTACGTGTTGATAGTAGTGGTATATCAGTTAATACGTAGTTTATCCTTGTTGTGAAAGCCCCGCTAGTCTAATAACAATACACTCTACATTTCGTGGCCGGGCCATTTAATTGAAGGCGAGACAAAGTGAAAAACAAATGTTTAAAGGACTACCGAGGGTATGTATGATTCGGTTTGTTGATGCACCCAAACCATCACAATTCAAAGCCAATTTTTTTCTTCAAATTTTGAAAGTTTATCCTTATTGCTGGGATGCTGTACGTTTTGATAGTAGTTATGGATCAGTTAATACTTAGTTAATCCTTATTGCTGGGATGGTGTACGTGTTGATAGTAGTGATGAATCAGTTAATACGTAGTTTATCCTTATAGCTGGGATGCTGTACGTGTTGATAGTAGTGATGGATCAGTTAATACGTAGTTTATCCTTGTTGTGAAAGCCCCGCTAGTCTAATAACAATACACTCTACATTTCGTGGCCGGTCCATTTAATTGAAGGCGAGACAAAGTGAAAAACAAATGTTTAAAGGACTACCGAGGGTATGTATGATTCGGTTTGTTGATGCACCCAAACCATCACAATTCAAAGCCAATTTTTTTCTTCAAATTTTGAATGCTTCCCCAATACTAGTATAAACATACTTATTTGTGTTTTTTCATTAAGGTTTTAATAAAATTGTAACCAGTAGAAATTTGGCACCAATTAGTGAAATTTGATATTAAGTATGTACACTATACTACCTGGTTTCTACCTGGTTTCGGTCTGTTAATAGACGTTTCCGTCTCTTGACCACCTCAATCTTTCTTATTATTATTGTTACGCATTCTCATTTTTCTTTTCTTCATTGATTACATATATAGGTTCGGTTGTGGTCTCCGGAGATAAAATTATTTACACAGAACTCCTTTGGATTAACTGTACAGTTTTCCTCTTCTCATGTTGGAATGTATTCCTTGGAGTTTGCTATTTACAGTATTTAACGATTTTCACCACACTATAGTCCGTTAGTAAGTATCTCTTCCAAAGCATGTATCTGTTCTGTATCCATCAACAACAACAAAACAAAAATATCGAAGTGACAACATTTATTTTGTATGAAGTTTAAAAAACCACCATCAAAATATTTTGCTGTGTAACATTCCATAGTCTTTCCTTAACAATTCTTTATTTTTCTAAGTTTCTGTATTTCATTTTTATTTTCCAGGCTTTCTGGCAGTGCAGCTAATCAGTACTAATGACGGTATATTGATTAATATTGGCATCAAAGTAGTTCCAACGATAATATACACCAAATGTGATGTCATCTCGCAAAGGACTTAAACTGTATTTCTGCATGATTCTATTAAATGTGACAACTGTGTGCTCCTCCGAAAATGAGACAAATATTGAGATATTTTCAAAATAAATGTTCGTATAAGTTCTATTAAGATCCTTGAACCAACCATCATAAGAAGTTTATTATTTGGAATGATCGATTAAAGAAAGGATAAGACTGAAAGTATAGCCCAAAAAATATAGTATATACTTATACTAATTATCTTGCCATGTTATTAATGTTCAAACTAATTCATTTGTGATAATAAGAACATTTTCACCTCACATACATCTGTCACATCAATTACATAGTTAAGATTTTAAAGTTGTCCGAAAAATCATTGAAGACACTAAAATAACAATAACAACTTGGAGAAAAGAGAACATGACAAAAATACTGACATGGAAGGCTGATGTGGAAACAAATAAATTAACATCGGGAAACATTTGACATTGTGTATATCATAAAGGTAAAGAAAATCACATAATAATTTCAAGCATACATCTTCACAAGAAAGTGCAATACACAAACCTGCAGATGTTTATCTACACAAATGATCTATTTAGAAATACGCATCACCTTCATATTGTCAAACATGCATCTCAACTCACTTGAAAGTACAGCAAAATTTTCAAGATAAAATCTGTTGTTTCATTTCTCACCTTGATCGACATCAATGTCACCTTTTAACTTTTTCTTCAAAATTCATAAGTGAATGTCTCTCTATACATTGCCAAGTCCCTTTACAATACCAAAACTTGGCATGATGATGGCAGTAAATAAGATTTGACTTTATATAGTTTATACTTATAAATGTACATATATATATACAATTTTAAATGGTATAGGTAACAATCACAACCAAATAAGGAATAAACGACATTTTTTCAATGTTCATCCCGGTAAGAATGTAAATCGTTCACAGCCTGTCACCAGTGCTTCATGGAATATGCGTCACCATGTAACCGATTTGCGTTCATTCTGGCATGAACATCAAAAAAATGCTGTTCAATACATATATTAACATTCTAAATTTTATAGCTATTATAGATCTTATATGTATGTTTTCTTTGTTGACATATCTGTGTCATCAGGGCAAGAGGTTCCTGGAACAGCAATGTATCACCAAAATGTTGGGCTCTTATAATGAATCTCATTTCTTTGATAGTGCTTATTGAGCAAGATGCAGTGGAAATGTTGCTATCTTACCAGTAAAAGCCATTAACTATGACAGCAATACTGCAGTATGTATTATTCTGGGCAATTTAGGCAATAAAGTGATTTTGCGAAAGTCTACACAACAGCGAACCAAGGATTATTTCACACCTTATTAACACCAAACTGCAAATTCAACATCAAACACATTTGTCTTTTAATAAAATAGATTGCAAAATAAAAGCTTCATTAACCAACAAAACGTTTTGTCTAGGAATGTAACGGTTTTAAATCATGCATATCAAAACATCGGTGAATATTTAGAGAAAATAAGGCTCAATTTGTTCAAATAAATAAATGGAATGAATTTTACTTAAAAAAACATAAATAAGAAAATGTACTGTTGAGCAAATCAACATAATTACAACAAAGCACCAATATGTTAACAAGTAATCGCTCAACCATCTACTGTCTGACGATCACAGGAGTACACAGGATCTAAGGTTTTATGTAGTGAGTCTAAGCAAGAAGGTTTTGTTCAATAGTCAATGTCTTTTACTATTTGAAAACTTTTAAATAAGGCAGAAGTGGATTAATGACTTTATTGTTTGTGAATTGTCTTTTTCGTACATCAGCATAACACATTTGAGCATCCAAATAGAAGCATCAAAAACTAGGAGTAATTATAGTGAGTTCTGAAATTAACTTAGAAAAGTCCCATTTCGAACACTGTGTGCTGCCATCAAGCAAAACACAATTTTCACTCCTTAAAAATCTACTTTGATCAGTCACATCATAAAGTTTTCAAGGTTGTGATAAAGCGGTATATAGGACCTCGAATTATTATGAAAGGGAGATAACTGGTGTTTTTTTTCACTTTTGATCATGCTTAAATTGTAAAAAAAAAATACATTATTAAATAGCTTACAACCAAAAAAACAAAAGGATGTATGCTACCTTACTATGACATGGAGACTTAAGGATGTATGTTCCCTTACTGTAACATGGAGACTTAAGGTTGTATAATACCTTACTGTGACATGGAGACTTAAGGATGTATGCTACCTTACTGTGACATGGAGACTTAAGGATGTATGCTACATTACTGTGATATACACCTTCTCTCTAAGAGAGTTTCACACAAAGATACCTATACAATGTCTTTAATGGATGGTCAATTCAAACTTTAACGTATTAATGACCTACATTGTACTTGAAATGTACTCCAAAAAGCATGCACCAATAACATATTTTTTCTCCCTACTACACAGCATTCTTATTAGTAATTCTCGCTTAAATAGATGATACATTTCTGTTTTCTGACAAGGAATTCTTTCTTGAAAATCCAATTCATTAAGTTTGATAGATTATACTAAGAACAATTTCTTCGATCCCATGGGGTTCACTATATTCATACTTTTCTGTATTGGCTACAATAAGGTAACAATAAGTTTGGTTTCAGTAACAGAAAAGAACACTTTGTGGGTGTGCTATACTTGTAATACTGTGATTGTCCTCAAAACCTTCGACCTGAAGTCCCTATTCTACTCGCAGACAAGTACCCCAAATACCAGAGTATAGCACTTGCTGTATTTGTCGTTTGCCGGTCTAACGCAGGCTGTGTTGGTGACGTGACCAGGACACAGCTGGTTCATGTTCTTGTGAAACTAGTGATATCATTTCTTCTGATTTTCATGCTGGTAAGTAAGTAATGCTAATCAAGTGACTAGGTCCTGTCTGATCCGCTTCCTTCTCAGGTCTAAAAACTGAGCAGAACAACTGTGACAACACACAACTTAATACACTAAATTAATATAATCTGCAAACTGTGTCCCCATCAGGTACCAAACATTCACTGTTTTGTCATAAAGTATGAATCAGAATCAACAAGAGCTGTATCATTTTGACACAAAATTTTCATAAAAACAATATACTCACAAAAAGTATTAACTCCTTTGCACTTCGACCTGTGACCTCTAACCCCTAACGACCCCTTGGTCATGTGCCCGTGACATTCTGTTTATATTGTCGGAGGGCCTGGAGGAAGACTTTCTTGGTCTCCTCCATGATGTTGTAGTACGACTGTAGGTCCTCATCCTTGGCCTTCAGTGTACTCTGTAGGGCCGTCTTTAGAGCCTCGTTCTCGTCACGCTGAATCTCCAAACTGTAACAAATAGGTCACTGGTTTACATCAGCGGTATATTGTATCATCATAAACATGTCAAACAAAAAATAAATATGAATTTCATCTCTATCGACCCATTCTGATACCGTATTTATCCTGCAATAAGCCCCGGGGGCATGGGCTTATCACCAGGCATGGGCTTATTACCAGGCATGGGCTTATCACCAGGCATGGGCTTATCACCAGACATGGGCTTATTACCGGATAAATGAAGTATTTGTATTGAGTCACCTCAGGCAAACACAAAGATCAGTGGAATAACTTCAATCTTTGAAAGCCTGCTAATCATTTATTAAACAATAACCAAAATGTGAGTCCATATGACAAATGGAATAATACAACAAACAATATATCGGCCCACGTTGTGTTTAACAACAACACCTCAGATGTAGCTCACAGCTAGAAATGTTACCAGAAGGGAAAACTTATACCCCCTGCCTGGGCCAAGAACCATAAGAAAAGTCCTTTCCGGAACATTTTTTGATAAAAGGGCATAACGCCATAAATGGGGAGGTATCTCTAACTTATAAACTTTATTTAAAGCATCCCAATACAAGTGTTACGTGTATGAAGTATCAAACCTGTGCTGCTAAGATGAGTACATTGGGAGTAATGTGAATGACATTTTTAAACTAGGTCGCATAACTCCACGATAAGGGGAGGCAACACCAATTTACACACTTATTGACATCCACTGAATATAACGGTTCTGTGTTCCAAGGGTCGTTCAAATTGGTGAAATACCTTGAGAGGAATGTTTTTACATAAAGGGGCATAACTCCCACAAGAATTAGCCAGATAATAATATTAATAGTAGGTGCACACTTTCGGAGTGTTTTGACTGCATCAGTGAAGTTTCATGAAATTTGATTAAAAACTGTAGAAGTAATGCAAACAAGATTTCATAGGCTTATTTTAGTAAAAAGGGCCATAACTTCCACAAAAATGGTCGGATCAAAATATCAAGTGCAGGTTCACAACTTCCACGAGTGTTAATTTCATCAGTGAAGTTTCATGAAAATCATCTTTCACCTAGGAGTTGTCTGGACAAATTTGTGTCTACAGACCGATGGACAGACGGACGGACAGACGGACAGACAGACAAGCCAAGCCAAGCTCATTAGAGTACACCTCACTCCCCCCCCCCCCCCCCCCCCCACAATAACTTAGTTGCATGGGTTTAATTAGGAATTTGACAACAACGCCTCGGGAGCTGCCCACAACAATATACCATGTTCTTTTTCTCAACAACACCTCGGGAGTTGCCCACAACAATGGACGATGTTCTGCTTCACAACAACATCTCGGGAGCTGCCCACAACAATATACCATGTTCTTTTTCTCAACAACACCTCGGGAGTTGCCCACAACAATGTACCATGTTCTGCTTCACAACAACACCTCGGGAGCTGCCCACATTAATGTACCATGTTCTGCTTCACAACAACACCTCGGGAGCTGCCCACAATAATGTACCATGTTCTGCTTCACCACAACACCTCGGGAGCGGCCCACAACAATGTACCATGTCCTGCTTCACAACAACACCTCGGGGGCTGCCCACAACAATGTACCATGTCCTGCTTCACAACAACACCTCGGGGGCTGCCCACAACAATGTACCATGGTCTGCTTCACAACAACACCTCGGGAGCTCCCCACAACAATGTACCATGTTCTGGTTCACAACAACACCTCGGGAGCTCCCCACAACAATGTACCATGTTCTGGTTCACAACAACACCTCGGGAGCTCCCCACAACAATGTACCATGTTCTGCTTCACAACAACACCTCGGGAGCTGCCCACAACAATGTACCATGGGGCTGATCCACGAGGCTCAAGGATGATGAAGCATACATAGTCATACAGATTTAATATCTACATAGAAATAAGTGGGATGACATCTTACTTTGTTTTGACCTCTTCTATATTCATCGTATCAATATCCTCCTCGTCCATGGCTCCCAACATGTCCTTTCCCATCATGCTCGAGGACAGGGGATTGGCCGACATGGTCGACTGACTACTGGCCCGGCCTGGCGTTTGCTTCCTTCCTCGGGGTACAGCACCTTGTAGACAGAGATGAAAGGACAGCTTAGAACAAAAACCACAGCAAGTTTTACAGTTGGTACAAAAACAGTGCATTTAATCAACTGTGTATCATAAGCTTCATCAATTAGATTTTGAACATTATCTGAACGGTTTAAATCATATTTCAGGGTAAGTTAGGGCCTCTCAGTGGGAGATTTTTTCTCACGCCGCGAGACTTGGCATCCCTGTAAACCATCCAAGAGTATATGAACCCTGTATAATTTGCGATATTTTTTTTCAAAACCTTTAAGATTGTTTCCATGTCTTCGCTTATGCATTTATTTACAACAGAGATTGAAAACTCTTATCAGCTAGTATTGGTAATAGTAGTTCCCCCACAACTTACTACTTGATTTGTTGATCATATTCTGCGACTCCACTTTGTTTTTGCCGATCTGTTTCTCCAGAAGTGCGTTCTTGCGTCTCTGTTGTACAAGTTCATTCTGTAGCTCTGTCAACCTCTCCGTCTGCTCAGTCATTCTACGGCCACAAAAAAACATTTCTTTGTTATTTTATTGTTGTACCGTAGCATTGTGTCATTATCGTGTTTGTAAACAAAGTGTCCAGCTGATGGTACATACACATATATTGTACCACTTACTGTTAAAGAGGATACTCAGATTGTATAAATTTTATCAATCTGATAAAAATTAAATGTCAATTAGGAATTGCTTGCATTAAATAAATTAACACTAAAGGGGACGTGCAATCATATGCAAGTTAACTTGCATCAAGGGTCAAATCGCTTTAAACAGGGAAGAAAAAAAATTGCATTAGAAATAAACATGCACAAGAAATGGATGTGATGAATAAGATGCTAGGAAAGTTTCATGTACCGTCATTACATACATGTACCGTCATTACTTTACCGTCATAACATACATGTACCGTCATTACATACATGTACCGTCATAACATACATGTACCGTCATTACATACATGTACCGTCATTACATACATGTACCATCATAACATACATGTACCGTCATTACGTACATGTACCGTCATAACATACATGTACCGTCATAACATACATGTACCGTCATTACTGTACTGTCATAACATACATGTACCGTCATTACTTTACCGTCATAACATACATGTACCATCATTACATACATGTACCATCATTACATACACATGTACCATCATTACATACATGTACCGTCATTACATACATGTACCCTCATTACTGTACTGTCATAACATACATGTACCGTCATTACTTTACCGTCATAACATACATGTACCGTCATAACATACATGTACCGTCATAACATACATGTACCGTCATTATGTACGTGTACCGTCATAACATACATGTACCGTCATAACATACATGTACCGTCATAACATACACATGTACCGTCATTATATACACATGTACCGTCATTACATACATGTACTGTCATTACATACATGTACCGTCATTACATACATGTACCATCATTACATACATGTACCGTCATTACATACATGTACCGTCATTACTGTACTGTCATAACATACATGTACCGTCATTACATACATGTACTGTCATTACATACATGTACCGTCATTACATACACATGTACAGTCATTACATACACATGTACCGTCATTACATACACATGTACCGTCATTACATACATGTACCGTCATAACATACATGTACCGTCATAACATACATGTACCGTCATTACATACATGTACTGTCATTACATACATGTACCGTCATTACATACATGTACCATCACTACATACATGTACCATCATTACATACATGTACTGTCATTTCATACATGTACCATCATAACATTCACTAACTAGTATTCTCTTGTTCTACAATGTGATATAGTACTAGAAAGGGAGCGATTGGGTTCAGGGGGTTCAGGGGGTGGGGGGGTTCAGGG